CGTATTTAAAAGCTGCCGTGTTGTTGGGTAATGGTATTATTAAATACTATTACTGCTTTCAGATATATATATATATATATATATATATATATATATATATATATATATATATACACAATTCCGTAAAATACTTGTCGAAAACACAACTATACTTCGACATGAAAACAATAGACAAAAACTAAAAATACTTGAAGCATTATACATCAAACAGTTAAAACCCAACCTAAACAAAATCAATTATGGCATGTCTACAAATATTCTTAAATGTCTATAATTTCTATAATTGGTAACAGAAGCCATTGGTTTATACCAACGGCTTTCCTTATTTCATTCTACAATTCACTCTCGTGTAGTCATGTGTGACGTCATGAGATGCGGTGCGATTTTCGCTTCTAGCGTCTTATATGAGCGTGTTTATCGTAGCTTAGTGATCCACTATGTAAACAATGACAGACTATCATCACTGTCGTGTCCGTATATTGTTTAATATGTTTGTGATTTATATCTTTGATAATGGCTTAAGTAAGCCGAAAGCTTAGATTTATATTAAAAATAATGGATAAATATTGTGAATTTCTTTCTTCGTTTAATGATAATGTTATCAAACTTATCAGAAGATAAAAAAAAAATTTTACATAAAATAAATCGACAACACTTGTCTATATTATTTAATGAAACGTGTATAAATGAATATATATATACATATATATATATATATATATATATATATATAATTCACAGACAGTACTGTTTCGCTGTATGACAGCTCTTCAGTGCGACTAGACAACTGAATACCTCATGTCAGGATTGAAACCCAACCGATTTGGTGCCAGTTAGAGTTTCTACCACTGAGCTATCTTCATTCGACAGAATGAGGCAGCTAAATCTAGCAATTTGTTTTTACAAATGTAAACAAATGTCAATCAGCCGGAGTGCTCCATTCATTTTACTGAAGAGCTTCGCATTAACGCAGGTGGGTGTTGTTTGTAGAATTAGCTTGTCATTCAACAGTGCTCCATTGAAAATATATTTTCAAGAGCCAAATTATGTCATTCGCAGACAGTACTATTTCGCTGTATCACAGCTCTTCAGTGCGACTAGACAACCGAATGCCTCATATATATATATATATATATATATATATATATATATTTATTAAAGACATTTTTTTTTTAATGTTTAACGTTGTTATTTATAGATAAAAGTATTTAAGCAAATGCTTTCTGTTTTCGAACCTGCATCCTATAAACCGTCAGTATTAAATAACATTTACCTTTGTGGCCTGAATGTCCGAGAAATTTTCATAGTCCATTTCTTAATATAAAATATTCGTTCTTTGACAGATTCATGGATTCGAACGACCTTGTCTACCGATTGGTTCTGCATCCGTCAGCGTATATACGGTTCCGTATAGGAACCGTCATTTATCTATAAAATAACAACGTTAAACATAAAAATATGTCTTTAATAAATAAATTGTCGGACCTTGTTTTTTTTTTTAATATATATATGGGCAGCATATTTTCATACAAAGCACTTCATAAAATAATAATAAGCAAAAACCTTTTCGGCCAAAAATAAATAAAAACAAGGTAGCAACAAAAGTTCTTAAATGTTTGTAGCAGCAGAATTTTATATGCAAATACTAAATCAAAATATTATAATTAGAAACCTTTTCCTTTTTTTTTGTGGAGGGGGGGAATTACAAAGTTACCTCCCTTGCATAAATGAAAATTATGAATTTGAAACGCTGTAATGTAAGCGAACAGTGAAAATTTGTTTTGAATTTATGTGGTTGCTGTATACACATGAAGATATTTTAACCCACTGAATATGGTTTCATTTGAGATTGAAAGTACTTGGGAAAATAAAAATTGTTAGAAAGAAAATTTTGTCATTTTTCTTGATCAGTTTTCCTACATCCACCAAGAAATTAATTTGTGGACTTGAAATGATTAAAACCAAAATAAATAGACATAATACGTCTAACCGAACATGCTTGAATGAAAATATGCTGCATATATATATATATAGAGAGAGAGAGAGAGAGGAGAGAGAGAGGAGGGAGAGAGAGAGATATGTATAGTATAAAAATGATATTTGAAAAAATTCTTAGTTTTATAGACGCGTTTCATCTTCAGACTTCACCAAAGAAAACAAATTGAAATGTTTTGTTTCTATAGTTACATTAAATCCACAATTTAAAAAAGAGAGACTCTCTTCGTAAGCCACTTTCTGGATAATTTTTCTGGGAAGTTTAACTATATATATATATATATATATATATATATATATATATATATATTGTTTGTTGTTATTGCTATATAGTTAGATATTCTTTGATAATATCCAAAAAAGAATCTGCTATGTCATTGGTCCTGACCTGGAATCCTAGCTTTAGTAACTTTCCACCTGCCATAAGGTAGCTTACCTGCGCTTATTTTATAAATATTTTCATGGTAATTGTTCGGATGATCTCTCCTCTATGGAATCTAGACTCTATGAATTTAATGACATCATTGGGTTGGTGGAAATGTCTCATCATTTTACAGTCGAAATGACTTGATGCAACAGTAAGTTCTATGCTAACCGTTTCTTACAAACATATATATATATATATATATATATATATCCACATAAAAGCCTGTTTCTCTATGACAGAGAAAGGAAGATTTTAGCGTATTATGTACGAGATGTGTAGAAACGTCAGTAGCAAGAGGGCTCAATTCGTAATTGAAGAGCGATGCATTAATAGCAGAAGAAGCCGCTACTGTTTTTAAAATTATCCTTTATCTAGAGTGCTCGTTCGGGTAAGGAGACCATATATATGTGTATGACATCCAGCTTCGTGCCTTTCTCTAAGAAATCACTTTTTTTGCCTTTTACTTAGCCACGCTAATTTTCTACAAAAAAATGGGAATGTAGGTTTGATTCCTATCGAAATCCGTATTTTCTTCAATAAGATTTACAGTTGTCCATATCTGCAGACGATAATTTATCTGTTTGTAAATAAACAATGATGACTACTTAAACACATGTATATCATAAAAATAATGTATACCGTGAAAAAATATTGCACTGGACTAAAAAATTCATTAATTGGACAAACACACACACACACAGACGAATAAGATTTGTTTTGTTATGCATCTAGATACAGCAGACAAAAAAAATTTAAATATAAATTTCACCACAAGAAAAGCAATAAAGCAAACAAAGATGGAAACTGTGGTTAATACTGAATGTGAAAGAATATAAGAAAAAGAAAAACGCCATGAAGAAGAGAAAAAAAGAAAAGAAATTAAGAAGACAAATGATAACGATTGACATTGCATTTAAATTTTTAAATATCAAATTTGATTTAAAAGCAGAAGGCCGCTTGATAGTCCCACAAGCGGCGCGAAAGTGGAAGTTTACGGTGATATTTAGCCATTTCAACAGTAAAATGAGTGTAACTACAGAAGTGGGTTTGCCACAAGTAAGAAAGCAAGGAACAGCAAGATATTTATTATAGAGTTTACAGGGAACAGGTGCTAGTTCAGGAACATATTTATTAAGGTCTATTGTTGAGATACTATCAAGTTCATAAGCTTTGCGAGGATTAAGTTCAAAGATGACAGCAAAAAGCATGGACGAAGGTATATGCATATCACTATATATATATATATATATATATATATATATATATATATATATATTTGATTGGTCATTCCAGCTCATGTAACAGCGTTTCCTCTTACGAGGGGTGGTTAATTAATTGGAACCTTTTAAAACCTTTATTCTACAATCTACATTCAACATCATCACTTGATAAGACAACAGAGGTGTTGAAACAAAATGGCTATTTTTGTAGTGATTTTATAACATATTTATGTTATAATTTTTAAATAAATAATTATATTCGCTCTACTCTGTATTGAGTACTCTTTTAAGAATAATAATTGTTGGTTATTGGAATTTATTCCGTATGCACCAGTCCTATACTTGGATGGATATATATATATATATATATATATATATATATATATATATATGTGTGTGTGTGTGTGTGTGTGTGTATGTGATGCAAGACATATCATGACAGAGCCATTCCAATTTTAACTTTTAAAAATCATAAAAATGTGAAATCGGTAGTTACACTTAGGAAATATTCTTAAAGACTCCATTGCATGTTCAACTTCTTTTCTCTATATATTTTTTACTCGTGTGAGATATATAAAAAAAACTACTTATATATATATGTATATATATATGTTTGTGTGTGAATTTTCTCATTCTGTCAGTAAAGTAGCAGTGCAAACTGGGTTCTATCACTATGGAAACGGGAAAACCATATCACTGTTTTTCCAAGAATCAATTGACAGATAGTAAAGAAAAGGAATCTATGGAGAGTTATGATCACCTATATCCTGAAGGGACATGCTGTTAAAAGATAATATAATATAAAAATAGCCTGTTGCAAGAGTAACTCCTTATTTTATATTTATATGTTTTAACTCCTCATTTTATTTTTATTTGTTTAAGACTCTGAGTCGCTGCCTTTATGGACTTAAATAGATTAGCAATGCAATTGCTTCTTTCTCTCGTATGCATTCTGCTAGAGATGATCTTGTAACAAATGTAATTATTAGTGTTCTAAAACACCAGTTCCCCAGATTCAAACAGAGATCTGATTATGATGAGATAGGGGTTATTATGACACTACATTTAACATATGAAAGCTACATTCTTGGAATACGTTCGGTTGGGGCTTAGTATAAATCCATTTTTTTATTCTTTTTTCAGGGCCAATGTCATGTTTCATAGCCTACTGATTGTTAAGTGCATGGATGCATTTAGTTCTCATCCTGGATCGAGTTCACGCGAGCATGCGTACACGCATGCGTGTTTGAATGAACCGGAAAAAAAACGTTGCTGTCATTTTTCTAAAGTTTTTAATATTTTTCCATGTTTTTATGGTTTTTTTTCGATTGCATGTTTGTAACTTTGTTGTTTTTTAGGTGTTTTCATTTCTATCTATCTATCTATTCCTGAAATGCGTCTGGGAAACGTCAATTTATTGCACAAGATTATAGAAAGAAAAATATATTCACTGTATGCTTTAGCTTCATTACTTTCTCTTTCTATCCTCCTCTCGCTCTGTTCCTCTCACTCTCTTTACTTTACTTTCGTCATTCTCTCATATTTCCCATGTTTCTTTCCTTCCTTTTATTCTGTATTCGCTTCCTATATCAATTTTCTGATTTAATTTCATTTTATGGCTATTTGGCTCCTCTCTTTTATCTGTTTTACGGGTATTTTTCATAAACACCCGTAAAACAAATCAAGATCTTTTCAAGAAGAAAACATGCTACAATCCTGGGCATAATTCTTTCTTCCAAATCAATTTTTTTTTACCGCCGGGGTCTTTGAAAGCAACAGCGTCATTTCCCAAGATCGAAAAAAGCGGAAGATACATTGAGCGTTCACGTGATATGAACATTCAATGCACAGAATTTGCAGAATTATACCGCGGATGCGTAAGGTGGGCGGCCAGGCTACAATTTGAATTCAGCTGGAAACCCGGATGTAATTTTCTATATAATTTATGTATTCGGTAGTATTTTTGCATGTGTGCTCGGGCGCAGTGAAAAACATATTACCGAATTTAGGTGTAGCGACGTGAACGCTCTTAATTGTATACTCTCTCTCTCTCTCTTTTCGTACTATTCTTAGAGGAAAATCGTACAAGACTGCGATTCTTTCCTCATATTGTACATGAGGATATTTCCTAACCGACCCTAAATCTGGCACAAGGCCAACAAGAATTTGCTTTTATGGCTACGTGTGTGGATCATTGTTTAAAATGTATCTTTTACATGCATGTCTTCCTCTGAACCTTCGTGTAGAATCAAGTTTAATATGCAAACATACAGACGCGGCAATCGTTTGTGGTCATGCGTCAGCTGGACAGCTTTGTGCCACGATGGATTTCGATTCCGGTTTTCATTGGAGTGATCAAAAGCTAGGAAAGGGCCTGTGCACGTTCACACAAGGGAAAAAAAATGTAAATTAAAGCCGCGACGATAAAAGAAAATGCATGTGAAATATTCCAGGAAAATGGCCCGTAATATATTTTAAAATAATTAACAAAGAATTGTATTATTTACATAATATATATATATATATATATATATATATATATATATATATATATATATATATATATATATATATATATATATAGTGGACCAGAACTTATAGGTGGACAATACACTTTACAGGGTTTTTTACATTTTATTATACTTAAATTTATTTATTACAATTACATTTTTTAACACTTTAAGCACGAAATGTCCTCCTTCAGGTTTACAACATTCCTCGAAAAGGAAACTGTGACACACAGTGCGAAACAAATTCCGATCACCATCAGTGTCAATAAATGCTTCCAAGATGACCTCTTTTAACCTCAAGCACTCTGCATTATTATTATTTCTTCCCTTCCCACTGCATTCTTTATCTCGGTCTCTCAATTCCAGTAACCTTATTGTTAATTTCACTCAAAGGTGTTTTCTGTTGCCATAGCAGGATATGACAACACAACTATGTACCACATCAAACTACAATTAGAACATCTTTAAGGCAATTCGACGTGGTGTAATGGTTAGGAAGCTTATCTTTCTAGAATAATCCTCCCACATCTGGTCTGGTGCTTCTGCTATGTATTTAGAGATTCTTGATAAAATACTAAGAAGAATCTGCAATATTATTCTCGTGACCTTGCATCTCGTCTTAATGACTTTCCCACTGTCGTAATGTAGTTTCCCTGTGCCTTTTCTATAAATATTTTCAATGAAATTGTTCTGATAAACTTTCCGTTATGCTTTTTTAAAAATCATTTCACCCCAAGCAAATCGGGAATGCCACTAGTACGCAGAGGGTTACAGGGAGGTAAAATGAAAGAAAAGACAGACTATAGAAAGGATCAAGGAAAGGACAAAAGATGAATGAGATTCAAGAAGATAGAAGATGGCGATTAAAGTTGCATTTAAATTTTTGAAGATTGTAGTTATCAGAGAATCAAGTAAACGGAAGGCGGGAAGTGCGAGGAAAGAAACTCTTGGAGTAGAAGTGATACAATGAATTTTGATGCATTTTCTCCTGTAAGTACAAAAAACAAGATTTATATAAGGATTTACATGTTCTAGCTAGTTTTAAAATTTTTCTTTTCTTTTTTCAACTTCCAAAAATATTTTGCAAATGAAGTTCTATTTTTACAAGTAACATTAAAAAAAAGAAAAAAATGATAGATACTTATACCAACGATCTTTGAAAGTGTTCATTGTACTACCAATATAAAATTTTTCAATCCTCGGATTTTCTATTGAAGAAATACAACACATGTACACAAGGGAGATCAAGCATTTGTTAGACAATTGCCATTGCTTAAAATTGCTACAATTACATTGGTTGGTATCCTTAACCGCATTAGAATTAGTACTTGCATTATGGTTAATATTGTTATTGTTAAATTGATTAAGTATTTTATTGTTGTGCAAATTTATTATTTCCTTGAGAATACAAATATAGCTAAGTTTTAACGTATTCCCATTAAAAATTTACTAAGGGATTGCTTTTCGAATCTTACGGCCCAACTTTGTACTAATTGGTTAGATGATTTTCCGTTTCTGTTTCTATTCTTAGAACTAACATTATATTCTATAATCTGAATTTTCAGAGGACTTATACCAACTATCTCTAAGGATTTTATTATACACAGTTCTTTGTTTCTCAAATACCTCTTTGTTAGAAGAGTGTTGGCTAATCCTACGTTCTACAGAGGAAAGAAATATATCGGATTACAGATGGTGGGTGATTGGAATTAGGATGGATATAGATTGGGTTGGCATTGTTCTTCATATAAGGCTGAAAATTTTCATGGACTAAATTTACTATTATATCTAGAAAATCAACTTGTTTAATATTCGAACATATTTTCACGTTAAGATCTAAACTCTTAAATTCTCTATGAATCAACTTCCTACGTTTATCAACTTTATTTCCTGTAGAGTTTTTTTTCTACAATCATGAGACCATCATCCCTATACAGCCCTATACTATCTAGAGTAATATCTTCGTAAACAGTAAGATTATGCAGAATAAATAATCCAACCAAATCAGAAGATTCCGCAGAATCCAATGATCCCATAGAAATGTCAGTTATCGTCAGAATTTTTTACCCACTGTCCTTTTTTTGTGGATGAGGACAGATTTCCTACAATTCATAAATGATGTTGATCTCTTCACTCGAAATGTTGGAATAAATTTTGGCAAATTCCAATGCAATTTTAAAGAGGTCCTTGGATATTGAAGGGTAAAAGTGTACTATATCAAACTGGATGGAGGTACAGTTGCTTTTGTTATCAATGTTTTTAAACCAGTTAATGACTTCAGTGGTACCGATCCATTGAATAAGTCGAAGGTGATTTTTAATTTGTTTATTTACGCGTTCTAGGATTACTTTACTAACCCTTCCGATCTCCGATATGGTGGGATTTATAATTCTTGTAGGGAGTTTGTTCAGGAAGTAGTATACAGGATTCATTAGTACAAAGTTTACCAACCCTATTTTTGATTTTTAGTTTATCGGTAATGTATTTAGAAGTGTTGATATGATCGACACAATTAAAATTATTAATGTTTATTTTTTTTTATAATTCTTCATTAAATTATTTCTAATCAATGCCTTATAATTCTTAGGATAAAATTCATAAAAGTTCGTGGTTTTGTCAGGTTTTACGAAAATCCTTAACCAATGTATCCAAGTGTTTCTGAAATTGATTTTTGTATTGATGAAAAATAATGTTCTTAATAATATTTAAGAGATCCATCTAAAAGTCGTGTAAACGGTCATTGAGAGGTGCAGTTTTAAATGTTTAAATCCATATGTATTCGTTGTACTCCAAACGTCCCGGTCTTTAAAATACAAGTAGACTTTCCATCTCACGTTATTCATCTAACATTACTGATAGTATTTTATATAGAGGTATATACGTTCGACTGATGTTTTATTATTTTCTATTGTTGTGGATTCCGGGGATGGAATCCGGCACAAAAAAATAACAACGCCAGTAATAGAAATAGGAAAAATATGTGTATTGAACGTAAGAATACAAAGTGCAATAAAGATTAGTAGTCCAGTAATATGGGTTAGTAGAAAAGTATATGTACAAGTCTCTGTAAGTGAAGCCGTAATTATCTCTCTTTCTGGACTATCGTAACTCTGAGTGAACACTCTGTGTCGATCTTTCTTTGTCATGCTATCTCTCCGTAGTGTAAGTATACTTTGGACGAGTCCATTCTGTATACAAGGGGCGAGCCCCACAATAATTGTTTTGTTTTTAGCAATACCTATAAAACACTTTAGTTATCTGTTATACTATATGAAGTCTATTTTTTATATAATTTATTATCTTATTTTATTTTCCATATGATTTATTTATATGATCTATGTACTTTTAAGTTTGGTTAGTTCATTTTTTTTTTCCATTTTTTATTTAATTTTCTATTGTTTCTGTTTTGTAATTTTGATAAATTTTTCCTGTTCATTCCTTCTTTTAGTTCTTAAAGGGTTTTTTATTTACTATTAAATAATTATTGGTAAATTATGCTGCCTCTTCACTGAAAATGTCAACCGTTTGTATATTGTTACATTGTATCAAAATTCTATTTCAAATATACTATCTCTCCGTTATCTTAAATGTATCCTTCACAACATCTTACTTAACATAAACTATTTTTGATTGGTTAACCGATTCTCAACATATCATGTCTAGCTTCTTTACATTTCTATATCATCTTTATATTTATTTTTCCCCTCTTCTTCTTAGGAGAAGAGGCTATATCCGATGTCTTTCTTTTCTTCTTGCTCTTTTTATTTTCTTCCTTCTTTTTTCTTTAGAAGAGCTTGTCTCTTGTCTTTCTTTCTTTTCTCCTTTTTTGACTATATCTTGCGTCTTTCTTTCTTTTTTCTTTTAGATGAGACTGTATCTTATGTCTTTCTTTCTTCCTTGCTTTTCTTTTTTTCCTTTTTCGCGGGGAAAAGTGATTGTAAAGAAATTTAAAAATAGTAATAACCATCATTTACCACCGTCTCGAAAGTGAATGCATTCATGTAACGGTTACATATGCACGAATGTAATATCCTATAATATATATATATATATATATATATATATATATATATATAATAAAAATAATTAAAATAAT